GATAAAATAGTTTCAGCTAATAAACTCAAAAGAATGACAGTTAGCAATTTCCAATCTTTAGCCCTTAGTGGATTAACAGAAGGTGATGATCCTCAATGACTGCCGGTGTCACCACAGAGGGAAATAGCAAACATTATGTAAATTCCTCATGGATGTACACAGTGTCATCTCTGGAGTGTTCGTGCCAATAAACAAATAAAAAGTTAACATTAATCTCAGGACGCATTTACCTGTAACTATTGAGAATTATCGATGCTAAGGGTCAGATACATTGGGGTCATTGTTCCATTCTCTGTACTGTTGCATGTTTGAGGATGGACACGATGAGTCATCCTTTAAATTGGAAAGGAATAATTTTTAGCAAAGTATAAATGACTACATAGGCCCAAAAAGGAATAGAAAAATTTAATCAAACAATACAAACTGAACCTGTGGTCCTAATCCAAGTCACCTCCATGATATTCCAAGACAAGCCAGGTTTGGAGGCCCATGACATCAAAATGTCATGGAAAAACTAATCACCACTGTATGGAAAGTCTTTAAAACCGTAGAAAAGAATGGGAAATTGCTCAACCCCTTTAACAGACTAGCTCTGCTTGATACAAAGACCAAGAAAACAACACTTGTGTCAGGCTCACTCACATAGAGGCAAATATCCTAAATGAATCCATAGCAGATCCAATATAGCAGGAGATTAAATGAAGAAATAGGCTGTAACAGAGGAATGCAAAGATACTATCTCATTAGAAAATCCTGTTCATTGGAAATCACAATGCTACAAGAAAATGAAGATGATGCATTTGGTCATATGCAAGAGGAACGAAAAAGCCTTTGATGAAAATTTAATACCAGCTCATGATAACATTTAGCACACTAACATCAGAAGGGAATTTCCATTCCCTAAAATTAACATCACATACACATCAATGTGAGATGCTAGAAACGTGCTCAATAACTAACATCTGAAACAAGACACAAATGTACAGGGCACCTGCACTGTTCAAATCGGTCTGGAGTGTGTAGTCAGTGCACAATGATACACAAGACTATCAAAATAAATCAGAGGTAAGAAAAACGAAAAGAAAGAGAGAATAATGGTAACAGTGCTGCTGTTGCTAGATGCCCTCGAGTCAGTTCTGACTCACAGGGACCCTGTCTACGATAGAAGGACTCACTGCCCAGTCCTCACCGTCCTCCCAGCCTTTGTTGTATTTGAGCCCACTGTTGCAGCCACTGTGTCATTCCATCTTGTTGAAGGTCTTCCTCTTCTTCACAAACCCTCTCCTTTACCAAGTATGATGTCCTTCTCCAAGAACTGGTCCCTCTTGATAACATGTCCAAAGTCAGCAATACAAAATCTCGCCATCCCCTCTTCTAAGGAGCATCCTGTTTGTACTTCTTCTGAGACAGATTTATTCATTCTTCTAGCAGTCCGTAGTATATTCAATATTCTCCAGCATCATGATTCAAAGGCATTAATTCCTCTTTCGTGTTCCTTATTGACTGTCCAGCTTTCTCATGCACATGAGGAGATTGGAAATACCATGCATGGGTTAAGAAACCCAACCCAACGCACTGCTATCCAGTCTATTCCAACTTATAGTGACCCCATTGGGTTTCCTGGGTTGTAAGTCTTTATGGAAGTAGATTACCTCATCTTCCTCCTGAGGAGCCACTGGTTAGTTGAACTGCTGACCTCTGGTCAGCAGCCAAATACCTTAGCTCCCTTATTCCTCAAAGTGACATCTTTTCCTTTTAATAATTTAAAGAGATTTTTGCAGCAAATTTGCCTCCCACCCCCCAATGGTAACAATACGGTGCTCTAATTAGAAAATCCAAAGTAATTGCCTTACAAAATATTCAAAATTATAAAGAATTCTGGAAAGCTGGTGTATAGAAAATCACTATAGCAAAATTAGGAGTTGGGCCATTAAAAAAAAGGCTAACTAATTAGAATATGTAATGGAAAGTATTCTATTCCCAACTCCAATAACTTACAAAATATACCTAAAATGAAACCTAAAAAAAATATGTACTGTATCTTTATAGGGGAAAATACTAAAATTGCTGACAGACTTAGGAAAAGGAAGCCTCGAGTAGAGCTGTATATTACATTTAGAGATGAGGAAGAGAATAATATAAAGATATCATTATTGCTGTTTGTCACCACTGAAACGGATTTTGAGTCATAGCGAACCCCCTGTGTGCAGAGTAGAACTGCTCCATAGGGTTTTCAAGGCTATAACCTTTTGGAAACAGATTTCCAGGCCTTTCTTCTGAGGTACCTGTGGGTAGGTTCAAACTGCCAACCTTTCAGTTAGTAGTCAGGTGATTAACCCTTTGTCCCACCCATGCCTGACTAAAGATGCCAGTACTCCTTCAGTTATTTATAGAGTTAGAGCCTGACCCAGAGTTGCCAGGATGACAATAAATCTCGGGCTGCTGTTTTCCAAGCTCAAAATTAACGCTGGGGGAAAAGGAGAAAAAAGAAATGACAATATCAGTTACAATGACAAAACAACAAAAGTGAGAAAGTTCTAAGGGACCCTAAATCTGTGTTGAACTGCTACTTATGTGTGCGTAGGTGGGGTGTGTCCTGAAGTGGAGACAAGTCTGCACACTGCAATCGAAGGTGGACAACAGAATCAGCTGGAGGAGAAGTTTCGTATCGCTGCCCTTTCTTCTTCCCAGTGTTGCTTGGGACAGTGAGTTTCGACTGCTCCACTGCTAGACTCTGAAGCAGCACCTTAGAGGACAAGTGGCATTACCACCTGGAAAGTGCTGAGAGAGTACAAACAGTTGAGTTAATTAAGACAGTATGAAGGAAAGCTGGTTGCCTAAGGGTAATGCATTTGTGGCTGACCAAAAGGTCTGAGTTGGAACCCACCAGCCACTCCAGAGAGAAAGACAAGAAAGTCTCCTTCTTTAAAAATCTTTGGAAACCCTATGGGGCAGATTCAACTCTGTACTACAGGGTTGCTAAGCTGCAAAGATTCAGGTGACAACCATCTTAAACATATTTTTGGAATGAGGATTGGTCTTTATTTATTTAAATGAAATATAAGAAATGTAGTAAAATAGAGTAGTGAACATCACAAGGATCACACATAATAAAGACAACAATATATCCTGAGCTCGAGTTCTGAAAGAAATCAGTGTGAAGTCTCTAGTGAGGATGAAGCTGTCCCACCCCCGAGAACAGAGATGGGACCCCACAGTCAAACTCCTTTATCCCCTCCCCCCAGGGTAGCAGGCAGATCTGCTGCTGGAATGGCCAGATTAGTTGTATCCATGGCTCTACATTAGGGATCTCAGAGAGTGGAGGTGTTTGGTCAGAGAGGAACCACCAAAGTTCAGCAAAGAGGAGGCCTGGCGCTTAGCAAGAATCAAGGGAAAATGCTGAGTGAGGACTGAGGTTTCTAGCCACCTGGAAGACTCAGGGGCACACAGCCCTGCCTCCTTAGAGGGCCCCACCCACTCAGAGCCCCACCCCTCTCATCCCACCCACCCACTCAAGAAAAAAGGGAGCCCCACAGAGCTGTACGCCTGCTGTGAATCAGGATAGAGCCCAGGTGGATGTCGCTGGTAGTGACAGGGTGACTTCACCCTTGGGAGATGGTAAGGGCTGAGGCCTGGGTCTGAAAGCTTCAGCCATTGTCCTCCAGAGGGAGGCTTTCCAGGACTTGTCAGGTGACAAAGTGAGAATCCTGAGTTGGAACTACTGGGCTACCCCCACTGGGAAAACAAGAGACCCAAGGGAGCCCCACCCCACCACACCTCTGATGTCAGCTGTGGGAGGCCCCAAGCTCGGCTTTTAGGCTTAACACTGCCTGACTTTTGCCTCCGTGTCCAAGGGTATGAAGGCCCTGATCCAAGGCTGGTGGTCTCGGGCCAGTAGATGGAGAAGCCCCAGGCCTATATGGAGTCAAGGAGATGACTGAGAAGAATCCATAACCTTGTATACAGAGGTTCCCCAAGGCCCCTCCCCTGGGATTGGCCCTAGGAGGCTCTAGACGGACTCAAGTCTGTGGTGCCCCTTCATTTTATCCTCAGGAGTCTCCAGGAGTTGTGGGCCTTGGTGTAAGAGGATGGTCTTTGGACAGCAGAGGCACGATTTCCAGGTCATTCCAGAAGTCAAGGTAAGGACCCTGAGGGCGGCAGGAATCTCCCACTCCACACAAAGGGGGCCGATCCCTCAGCCATCAAGTGCCCAGGGATGTCAGACACATGCCTCAGAGCACAGAGAAGGGAGAGATTTGTTTTGAGGGAGAGGTCACATGTCAGAAAAAAAAAAAAAAACCTCACTGCCATTGAGTTGGATCCCATTCATAGAACCCCTTCTTGGGTTTCTGAGGCAGAATCATTACGGAAGTAGATTACCCAATTTAGTTCCTCCTTGGAGTCAGACTGAAGGGCTTGACTGAGGACTAATTGATTGGTCGATCCACCATAGGTCGTCAATGCACTGGTTGTCCCTTGCCAGGGGTGATGGGCTGATGTTCCCCTTTATTTCCTTCTCATGGATTCCAGGAAGGGTTAAAATGTTAACATCAGAGTAGCAAAGGGAAGGGCATCCAGGCCCTGCCAACAGTTGACATGATGGTCCGGAATGTCTTCTGAAACCCAGAAAAAGCCCCAGTGATTTCATGTGATGTCAGACCCAGCAAGCCACAGTCATGTCTATTAAGCTATGACCTAAAGCTCACTCTCACTTCCTCTGCTGGGTTCTCAAGACACTCATCATGCCTCGTGGCCAGAAGGGCAAGCTCCGTGCCCGTGAGAAATGCCAATGTGTCTGAGGCAAAACCCAGGGTCTCCAGGGTGCTCAGGCCATGGCAGAAGAGGAAGGGGGTCCCCCTCTTCCTCTCCTGCTTTGAGGGATACTCCCCAGAGCTCCTGTGTAGCTGGCATTTTGCAGGAGTCTAAGAGAGCCCCAGTTATCACCACTCTTGCTGCTCCTCTTTTATGCAAAAAATCTGATGGAGGTGCCAAGAGCCAAGATGAGGAAAGTCCCAGCCCCTCCCAGGTGCCAACCTCCACTGAGAGCCCAAGCGAAGGTGAGAATTTTGGTGGAGTTCCTGATGGAGAAAAAGCCCATAAGGAAGGCAGACATGTTGAAGATTGTCAACAAAAAGTGCAAGCTGCACTTCCCTGAGATCCTGAGGAGAACTGCTGAGTGCTTGGAGCTGGTCTTTGGTCTTGAATTGAAGGAAGCCAACACCAGTGGTGTTTCTTATGAGCTCATCAGCAAACTGGGTATCAGTAGTGCAGGGATTTTAAGTGGTGACATGGAGATGCCCAAGGCAGGGTTTCTGATGAATATCCTAGGCGTGATCTTCATGAAAGGTAACTGGGCCACTGAGGAGGAGACCTGGGAATTCCTGAATGTGTTGGGAGTCTATGCTGGGAGGCAGCACTTAATCTTTGGGGAGCCCAAGAAGCTCCTCACTAAATGTTTGGTGCAAGAAAATACCTTGAGCAATGGCAGGTGCCCAACAGTGATCCTCCATGCTATGAATTCCTGTGGGGTCCAAGAGCACATACTGAGACCACCAAGATGAAAGTCCTGGAGGTTTTGGCTAAGAGCAATGATTGCGTGCCTAGTGCCTTCCCTGATCTGTATAAGGAGGCTTTGAGAGATGAAGCAGAGAGAGCCCATGCCAAAGTTGCAGCCAGGGCTAGAAATCGTGGCATGGCCAGGGCAGGTTCCATGACAAAGTCCACCATCTCATCCCATATCCAGTAAAGTCTTGGGCAGATACTTCATTTTGCACTTGAAGTGAGCTTTCATCCTTTTAAGTAGGAGGTCAAGGTTGAGCTGCAGGGAGTAAAATGTGTATCTTCTTTTGCTCCTGTTCTACATGAGTAATTTGCATAGAAATATGTGTTTTTGGAGGATGTTTTTTAGATCTTATCTCCTTGTTACAAAGTTTATTTGCTTTATATTACAAGTTTCTGAATGACTTGGTTTACATATTGTTGTTGATCAGTTTAAGCATACTTTTGTTATTTGCAAAAACATTCACTTTTTTTTTAATGTTCCAGAATAAAATGTGATAGTAATGGTAATTTTTGTGGAAGTATGAAATACTTCCACAGTAAAATGGTTGGCATCACAAAATGGAGAAAATAAGAAAAAGAAAAATGATGATCAGTTCTGGTTACCTAGTGCCGCTCTGATGAGAAATATATGTTAAATGGGACGGCCTTAACAAACAAGAGTTTATTTTTACAATTTGGAGGCTTTAAGTCCAAGTTCAAAGTGCCAGGCTCTAGGGGCTGGGTGAAAGCCCCTCAACCTTGGGGTCCAGCTCTGCCTCCTGCTCCTGGCCCACTGGAGCTAGAGGCATTTCTTCACTCAGACAGCTGCTGGCTGCTGAGGCTGAGAAGCCCCAAGGTTGACAAGGAAAAAGGCATAGTCCCGATGTTACCAAACCACACGGCAGGCCATTAACTTAAGTCCACTGTAAGTCCCAAGGTCGGCAGAGCAGGGCAGGCTGCTGAGCAACGACATGGCTACATGCAGGGTCCAAGTGTGCCATAGGCTAGATAGAGACCATTCTCAAAACTTCTCCTTATATACAGGAAGCAGATCACATCCCAAAGGCAGCTACTCAGCTGCTCACAGTAGATTCCACCATGGAGTTCATTTCAAGTCTCATCATGGGGAATACTACATCCAAGCTGCCCAGCCACTCAACCAGGCCTAGCCAAGTTGACATAGAAACATAACCATCACATGATCCATTCTTAGATTGTGTTATGTATTTTTGCTTTGAAAATTAAAACGTGTATATGGATCTGCATCATTTATTCAACAATGTGTGATAAATTATATCAGCATAAATTAGAATCCTTGTTCACTGCCTGTTTTTCTTCTACCCAATTATTAGTTGAGCATGTGCTCTCTGGAAGACTCTCGGATAGACCTGGGTTTGCTGAAAACTAGAAGGCCTAGTTGTTGCCCATAGAAATTTAGAGTCCAGTCTGAGCTATCAGATAACTAAGAGGTTGAGATACACTCTGAGGGCTAAAGGACAAGTGAAAAGAAGGGGTGAGGAGGGGGGCTTCCACATGAGAGCAGGCGGACAAAAATGCCCTGAGGTAAGACAGTTTGGGGTTGAGGCTTTGGGAACCTGCAAGACCCTGAGTGGGAGGTCCTTTTAAATTAAGCTCCATGGAGGAGGGTCGGCTGGAGGGGTGGGTGGGTGGGGTGGTTGTGAGGGACTCAGGGCTCTCTTGTAGCCGTGGGAAGCGTGTGCATGGCCAGATAGTCCCATGATGTGTCTCAGCATTGAGATACTGAGCCTGGAATGGAGGATGGTTCTTCATAGCTGCGCTGGGATTATGGGTAAACCAAAGAGAGATGCCCACCTGGGCCTGACTGGATGGTGTTCCTGTGCTCTTGTCCCAGTGCACTTGAACACATGCACTGCATATATATATGCAGCAAGTCCTGGGAATTTCTCAGAAATAAAGTTGACACGTCCTTGAAGTCAGTCTCAAGGAGTCATTAGGCTGGGGGAGAAAGAGCCTATTCCTTTCAAAGCATTCAAATTAGGTTGTCCTGAGGTAGTAGGCATTCTTAAAGGAACTGAGTTGGTGTAGTGGGTAAGAGATTTGGCTGCTAACCGGAGGGTCAGCAGTTCAAATCCATCAGCTGCTCAGAAGGAGGAAGATGAGGTAATCTCCTTCTGCAAAGATTTATAGCCTTGGAATCCCAAGGTTATCGCTATGAGTTGTGGAGCTCCAGTAGCATAGTGGCTAAGACACTTTCCTGCTAACCAGACGGCTGGCGGTTCAAACCCACCAGCCACTCCTCGGAAGGAAGGTTGGGCAATCCTACTTCCACAGTGATACTGCCTCGGAAAACCAAGGAGGGGTCGCTATGAGTCGGGTTTGACTCGATGGCACATAACAACAAATGGCAGTGAATATTTTTTTTTAATTATTTTTCTAAAGCCTAGGAAAGGAGCTCTGGTGACACAGTGGTTAAAGCACTGTGCTACTAATCAAAATGTCGGTGGTTGGAACTTCCAGAGAACGATGAGGCTGTCTAGTTCCGAAAAGATTGGAAGTCTTGGAAAAACTATGGGGAAATTAATTTTACTCACTTCTACAGGGTTGCAATTAGTCAAAATCAACTTGATGGCAATGACTTTGGTTTTGAGTTTAAGCCTAGGAAACCCTAGGGGGTAGTTCTGCTCTGTCACATGTGGTTGGTATGAGCTGAAATCAACTCAACAACATCTAACAACAGCAAATGAGGCCTAGATTTTTAGTGGATGTGAAAAGATTGAAAATAGGACTATTTGGATAGAGGAGGGTGTGATGCCTTTGGTTCTTGACATAAATTCTAGGAGCTATGACTTGCATCCACATGACTTTCCCATAAACCAAAAAAACCAAACTCACTGCAGTCCAGCCGGGTCCGACTCATAGCGACCTTCCTTGGGTTTCCGAGATGGTATCACTACGGAAGTAGATCGCCCAACCTTCCTTCCAGGGAGTACTTGGTGGGTTTGAACCGCCAGCCTTCTGGTTAGCAGTCAAATGCCTTAGGCACTATGCCACCAGAGCTCCCATATCCAAATTAAATAACATATCCTCTGATGGAGAAAAATTCACTTAGTTTTACTTGTCAAGCAGCATTTTGTGTAATTTTGGGTATTGTTCTCCCACAACATTGCAAGTCTCTGGGGGTTGGAAATGGTTAAACACTCAACTAGTAACTGTTTACTACTAACTGAAAGGTTGTCGGTTCAAACCCACTCAGAGGTCTGATGATCTGCTTTAAAAGGGCACAGCCTTGAAAGTGTATGGAATGCAGTTGTGCTGAACACCACGGGATTGGAATGGACCTCACTGGTTTGGTTTGAATTAGTTTGAAAGCATTGCATATCCTATGATACCTACTGGATTTAAAAACAAAGTGAAAACTTCTGAGAGGGGAGGATGGTATCATGATATCATCACTAATCAAAACAACAGGATAACAAGTTTCTTTAAAGACCTAGTGCCACTCTGACAAGAAATATACCACAAATGGGATGGCCTTAACAAACAGGAGTTTATTCTTACAATTTGGAGGCTTTAAATCCAAGTTAAAAGTACCAAGCTCTAGGGGCTGTGTGAAAGCCCCTCAACCTTAGGGTCCAGTTCTGCCTCCTACTCCCGGCCCATAGGAGCTAGAGGTGTTTTTTCACTCAAACAGCTGCTGGCGGCTGAGGCTGACAAACCCTAGGTTGACAAATAAAAAGGCACAGTCCCAATGTTACCAAACCACATGGAAGACCATTAATTTAAGTCCATTGAAAGTCCCAAGGTCAGTAGAGCATGGCAGGCTGCTGAACAACAACATGGCTACATGCAGGGTCTGAGGTGCCATAAGCTAGAGGCCATTCCCCAAGGCTTCTGCTTATATACAGGAAGTAGACCACATCCCTAAGGCAGCTACTCAGCTGCTCACAGTAGATTCTACCATGGAGTTGATTACCAGTCTCATCATGGGGAATACTCCCCAGCTACCCGGCCACTCAACCAGGCCCAGCCAAGTTGACACACAAAATGAACTACCACAATGATATCATCACTAATCAAAATAAGATGATAGCAGGCTTCTTTAAAGACTCAGTATTTGACAAGCACTCTGTCAAGTGCTTTGTATGTATTACTTACATTCCAAGGTCCTAGGAGATAGGGCTTATCAGTCCCACTTTGCAGATGAAGAACTCGAAGTATCCCAGATACACACAGCTGGTGTGAATTCCTTTAAAACTCACATTGTTGGACTCCTTCATGCCTGCGTCAGACCTTTGAATTCACTTTTCTGGTCACTACTCCAAAACGAGGAGCTCTGGTGGCATAGTGCTTAAGGCACTTGACTGCTGACCAGAAGCCTGGAGGTTCAAACCCACCAGCCACTCCTCGGCAGGAAGTTTAAGCAATCTACTTCCGTAATGATACCACCTCGGAAACCCAAGGAGAGGTCGCTATGAGTCGGGTCTGACTCGACGGCACATAACAACAACAACAACAACAACACTCCAAAACGTATCTCAGGTGATCAAGAGAAGGACTTTGTGCCCAATTCCTGCACAGGAATACATAGCCAGTGTTGTAAGAATAAGACAAGAAATGAGAGGCACGAACAAAGAATAGAAAGAGATAATGGTCAGTGCCAGTATGATCCGGTGCATATGCAATGTCAGATAACCACTAAAGGTCCAGGGCTAACAATATGATCAGGGAGAGCCCGGCCAGTGGAGGTAAATCCCTTAAAACAGCATTCACATAAGAAAAGTCTGGCTGATGAAGAGAAGAAATAGATCAGTATGCACTTTCCTTCCACTTCACACCTGTCCTGGGCCCTGGCCTTGGGCTACAGCTTCCCCAGCTCACATCATTCCTGGGATGTTGATGTTGTTTGGTGACATCTAATCAATTCCAATTCATAGCCACCCTATAGGACAGAGTAGAACTGCCCCATAAGGTTTCCCAGGCTGTAATCTTTGCTGAAGCAGAACTCCAGGTCTTTCATGTGTGGAGTCACTGGGTGCGTTGGAACTGCCAACTTTTCAGTTATCAGATGAGCACTTAACCATTGTGATACAGGGTTCCTTGTTCCTGAGAAACAAACCCCTTTTCTGCAAAGTTTGCATCAGGGAAACTGCTCAAAAGTTTGCAGGGGAGAAGCAATTCCCAATAAACCCTTAATGAAAGAGACAGAAACCAAGATAGGACAGC